AAACCTGTCACTTGAGCATTGGGTCGGCCCCACCCGACCCGACCTGGGTTTGGTTTGACCCATTAAAGGCAGGTTCGGGTCGGGCCAGGTCGACCCGCGGTCGGATCGGGTCCCTTGCGCCTCCTCTAACCTGGCCTGGGCTCGTTGGGGTTCGATCGGGTGTGATCCGAAACCGTGTCAGGTCGACCCGATCCTAAGCCTGGTCAACTAAAATGATTGCAGATGGGTGGAATTTGGCTGTTGTATCTAAATTCCATATTTCTTGTTCAATAATTTCTTAAACCAGATAAGGCATTACTGACTATGAACAAAACCAAACACAGTCGACACCCTATGTAGTTGAACCGGACATGTTCGGTTCTACGCGAACAGTTTCCAAGAACAGCTTACAAGGTTACCAGCTTTGTCAGCAAGCCAATGCCAGCGGGGATGGAGCTGTTGAGCTGGTTGCTCTTTAGAGAACTGTCCGAGACAGGGAGATGAGGGACAAGCAGAGACCGTGCAAATGAAATAGACATCACAAACCAATGAAGCAGAAGGTATGAAAGTTGTTGTAGTGGCATGAGATTAGATGCCGAACTCGTCCTGGCCCAGTTCTTACTTCAGTAGCCTGATAACCAGACCAAACTGGGCTCGAGTCGGTTTGGGTCGAGCTGATTTCTGCCCTGGCCAGCTTAAGGGCCGACTGTATGGTTTTGGCCAGTGGGGGTTCATCACAACCCTATGTTGGATCGTCGCACGATAGCTCAAGTTTGGCCTCATTCACATTTATCACAAGTTTCCTAAATTTGATTTCCTCCAATGAGTGGGTTAGTGCCTAAAAGCACTTACACTTTGTAGTGCAAGCACCTGCCAAGAAATAATCTAACCACCTTCTTACAAAAACGTTGCCCACCATGTTTCACGCAGGCCTTGGCTTGTCCCTTGTTCATGCCTCACTAGTAGGATTAACATCTTGATTGCACAATCCACCATAGTTTCTTTACAAATGAAAACAATACGACGGATCATTACAAATAATTAAGAGCAGTGAGCTTTGTGATCGAGGAAGGAACAGATCCTGTCAGCATGTTAAACTGGAGAGCGCTGGTGGTGTTGTGGGGGGTAGATGCACGGGAAGACAGGAGATAGCACGGATGAATTATACATGTGAGAAGAAACGAGGAAAAATGGGAATGACTAAGGGAAAGTTGGGTACAAATACAAACCCTAGAAAACTGTACCCCATATGTGCTACCCCACTATAGCCTACAGTAGCTCTGTCATATAAATCTGACACACCCCCATAGGCAAAGTGGGGGAGAACAAGGGGTCACAAGACCAGTCAAGCAAAGCAAAGCAAGCTCAGGGTGGATCACAAAGTCACCACACATTCCGAGCACAAGTTCAAGGCCACAAGGCCAGTTCACATGCAGGATTACATATATATATAAGGCTAGACAAGCAAGAGCAGGTGTATATATATATGCAACAGTACAAACAAGGTCAAGGGGTGAGCAAGTGAGGCAAGGTGGGCACAAGGCCCAGCTGAGTACAGAAACGCTGATGATCACAAGGCGCAAGTGCCTTGGTGAAGATATCAGCAGTGTTGGCCTGAGAGGCCATGTACGCAAGCCGCAGCTGACCACGCTGCTGTAGTTCACGAGCAAGGAAGTAGCGGAGAGCAATGTGCTTCGTTCTGTGCTCCAGTCTCTGCTCTCGACACAAGGCCAGCATGGCCTTGTTGTCTACGTACAGCACTGGAGGAGAACGAGGCGGCTCTCCGAGGTCAGTCAGCAGGTAGGTGAGCCAGCGAAGCTCCTGTGCAGCCATGGCCCCGGCGTAGATCTCAGCCTCACAACTGGAGCCGAGAACAGAAGACGAGCGGGTAGCCCGCCACGAAACAGAGCCGGAACCAAGGCTGAAGGTGTAACCCTGTGACGACCGCTGCGTAGCCTGGTCGTCAGCCCAAGAAGCGTCTGCGTGCCCAGTGAGGACCACCGGACTCTGCCCTCCAAGCACAAGCCCCATGCCCGACGTACTGCACAAGTAGCGCAACACCCTCTTTGCTGCAGCCATGTGCTCCGATCTGTGTCTCCCAGGAGCAACATAGCGTGCGAGAATGCTAAGAGGGTATGCAAGGTCAGGTCGTGTGCAGGTCATCAGGTACATGAGGCAGCCAACAAGCTCTGGGTACGGGCCACTCGACTCTACGGACTCATCCGAAGGCAGAGCTGAGAGCGAGTGGCGAGTAGGCAGAGGAGTGGCCTGAGGCGAGGAGTACGTGAAGCCGAAGCGCTGAAGGACCTGCTGCACCATGTGTGACTGAGTCAGGGTAATGGTGCGGCGTGCTCTGTCCCGGGTGATCTGCAAGCCAAGGTAGCTGCGCAGTTCACCCAGGTCTGTGCACGTGTGTCTCTTCTGCAGCTCGGACTTCACGTGGGCGAGTCCAGCAGTGTCAGCTGTGGCAAAGACCAAGTCGTCGACGTACACGAGGATGTAGAACGGCAGCAAAGAAGTGTCGGTGCGCAGAAACAGCGACGGGTCGGCAGTAGAGGGAGCAAACCCAAGAGCCGCAAGTGTAGTCCTCAGTGTGTCGTGCCACTCACGCGGTGCCTGGCGGAGACCGTAGACTGGCCGCCGGAGGCTCCACTGGGTGCCAGGAGGAAAAGACCCAGTGAAGCCAGGTGGGCGACGCAGCCAGATCTCCTCGTGCAGGCTGCCCTGCAAGAAAGCAGTGCTGAAGTCAAGAGAGTGCAGCTCGTAGTCGCGGTGAGCAGCTATGTGCAGCAGTACCCGAAGAGTGGTCATCTTCGGGGTGGGAGAGAAGGTCTGAAAGTAGTCAACTCCCTGCCGCTGACTGAAGCCACGAGCCACGTAACGCGCCTTGAAGACAGGCGGAGAACCCGGCGGCCGCTTCACCCTGAAAATCCACATGCCACTGACGATGTTTGCCCCAGGCGGGGGAGCCTCGTCAACGTAGGTGCCTGTGGACTTCCAGGAAGCCATCTCTGTGTCCATAGCTGCCTGCCACTGAGAGGAGTAGGGACCCTCTATCGCCTCCGCGTAAGAGCGGGGAGTCGGGATGTCAAGTGCATCCGGGTCTCCCTCAGGGGTAAGCAGTACGGACACGAGATGAGGTGAAGCAGCAGCCAAACACTGGAACAACTAGGTCGCGCAAGCCATGGCCGACAAACCTGTGCTTAGGGGTTGCGGCTTAAAGGTTAGCATAACCAATGAAGACTACGACACTTTAAGCGGTTCGCAGAAAGAATGGTCAGAGGATCTTCTTAACTTCGCAATCTTGTAAGTACATCGTCTGCCTTATGTACATCGTATTGTTGGCACCTCAGCCCTACGCATCGACCGCCCGTCAACTAAAACCGACCTCTGTTTTTCTATAATCGTTTTTCATGCAGGGCATTAACCAAGAATCTGCTCCCCATACCGCAACGGCAGAAGATTGCTATTTTTTCGGCATCCTTTGTACAGAAACGGATTAAACTAATCCATCCGAAAGTGATATCGAAGAAACCAACTGACGGCCTCCTCACCAAAGACGCCCTCGTATTCCCGCTGTGGTCCAAGTAAGTGTGTTACCGTTTTTGCATATCGCCTTCCACCCAGAAAGGTTCACTAACAACACGCGTTTGCAATGTGCAGATTGAGCAGCGAGCCGAAAGTGGCTATCAGCCTCCTCGTTCTCCTAGCTCCGTGCGACCTCCGCTCGGCCACCCGGAGAACAGACCGTACTCGGATCATCTTCTTCGACCCAAAGAGTGGTGTCCCGACTCACTCTCACGGAGATTTTGCTCTGGAAGTGTTGCAGTAAGTGATGCTGCTCATTGCCATTGAAATTGGATGGTTGACAATTCTGACGGTTATTCTGTCTTTGACAACAGATGGTTGCAGGAGCAATTGATTGTCGAGTACACCGCTTTCATTGAAGGCAACAGCTCTAAGAACGAAAAAATGGTCGTTCGCGACATGAAGGCGCGTCTGTCGGATTTGTTCCTCCAATTTCCAGGGGGGGTGAGTAATTGTAGCAGACAATACATTCGTCTGCGTCCAACTGTGTTTTGGGTTACACCCCGCTAACTCAAATACATTGTTCTCCGTGCTTGCAGATGACGAAGAATCTCGGATGGGCACAACCAGGCTCGGGCCTTCAAGTCGCCCACACATGGACTAAGGTGCTTGAAAAATGGGATGAAATTCTACAGCTGCAGTGGGACGACCCGTTTGTTACACTCGGCAAAGGCTCCCGCACAAAAGAAAAGGTTAAGGATTTGGTTGTGGGTGAGTGTGACAAGTTATTTCCTGTGGCCGTTTGCGGTGCAGTACGCTGCGCATCAGCTCAACCTCTGGCCCCGTGTCTCTGCTCCAGAGACCTCGCCCACACTGCATTGGACGGGGGAGGTTGGCGATGCGTCTGTGTTCCGGGTCTGGGGATGTCGAGCCTTTGTCCGCGATACGTCCACGGACAAGCTCTCCTCCCGTGCCGTTCCCTGCGTCGTCTACCAATGGAAGAGCAAGCAGAGGGTGTAGAAATTGATTGGCCGGATCCTCAGTCCGAGAACGACAATGAGAGAGTGCGAACAACCGTAGAGGCGGCGTCATCGACATTTGTGTACACCCGCAGAGGAACAACGTCTCAGCATGGTAGTGCAAATCAACAGCCGGCTTCAGGCGGGAATGGAGGTGGGCTACCAGAGAGTGTGACGATAGAGATAGACGCTGTAGTGAACGGGAACGCAGAGGTGTTGCGCGGCATCGAGCATGATTCTGGGCCAGAACCAGGAGAGCCAGACAGAGAAATGGTTGAGGCAGCAAAGGCTGAGGCTGCAGAGAAGGCGAAATCAATGGCAGAGGAGTTTAGATGAATAGAGGAGGTAACTCGACGTATGCGGAAGGAGGCGGATATGGCAAGGGCCGCAAACGAGAAGAAGAGGATGGAGGAGGACCGACAGAGTGCAGGGTGCGTGAAGAGGGCCAGGGGTGAGGGTGAGGCGATGGTACGCATGGAGGCGGAGACGCATCGACCTCACGAGGCGGCAGAAAGATCCAAAGCCGCAGAGGAGCGAAAAAGAACGGAAGAGGAACGGCGGGGGGTTGATGACGCAGAGAGGGCCAGGTTGGAGGCAGAGGCGGACAAACGTAAAGAGGAGGAGGCGCGTCGTGCAATTGAGGTTGCTGAGATGCCGGCGCTGGCAGCAGAGAAACAAACACTGGCGCTGGAGGAAGGTGCGAGATTACGGGCCGGAGGCGCGGCGTCAACTGGCAGCAGAAAGAGCAAATGCCGCAGAGGAGCGGAAGAGAGCTGCGGAGGAAATGCTGAGAACGCAGGCCGCAGAGAGAGCTAGGGTCGAGGCATCGGCAAAATTGCGGATAGAGGATGAGGCAGCTCGTCTGAGAGAGGAAGCAGATAGGGCGACCGCTGCAGAGAGATTAAGGCTGGAGGAAGCGGTGATGATTCGCAAAGAGGAGGGCAAGAGAGAGGAGCAGGAACGGCAGAGGGCAGAGGCTGCAGATAGGGAAGCTGCGGAAGGAGTTGCGATGGTTCATATAGGAGTAGATGCCCGGCGTGCAATAGAGCAGGCAGAGAAGGCGACAGCAGTAGTGGAGGGAACGAGAGCGGGAGAGGCGGAGGAGAGGGTCAGGACGGAGGCAGCAGCGATCGTTCGCAGAGAGGAAGAGGCGCTGCATGCTAGAGAGGCGGCAGAGAGGGTGAGGGCCGCAGAGGAGCTCGTGAGAGAGAGGCAGGAACGTCTGAGGGCAGAGGCTGCAAATAGGGTGAGGGCCGAAGCAGCTGAAGTGGTTCGTAGAGAGGAAGAGAAGCGGCGTGCAGGAGAGGAGGCAGACAAGGCGAAGGTCGTAGAGGAAAGGAGGAGAGCGGAAGAGGAACGGCAGAGGGAAGAGGCCGAGGAGAGGGTCAGGACGGAGGCAGCAGCGATCGTTCGCAGAGAGGAAGAGGCGCTGCGAGCTAGAGATGCGGCAGAGAGGACTAGGGCCGCAGAGGAGCTCCTGAGAGAGGGGCAGGAACGGCAGAGGGCAGAGGCTGCAGATAGGGTGAGGGCCGAAGCAGCTGAAATGGTTCGTAGAGAGGAAGAGGAGCGGCGTGCAAGAGAGGAGGCAGATAAGGCGAAGGTCGTAGAGGAACGAAGGAGAGCGGAAGAGGAACGGCAGAGAGAAGAGGCTGAGGAGAGGGTCAGGACGGAGGCAGCAGTGATCGTTCGCAGAGAGGAAGAGGCGCTGCATGCTAGACAGGCGGCAGAGAGGGTGAGGGCCGCAGAGGAGCTCCTGAGAGAGAGGCAGGAACGTCTGAGGGCAGAGGCTGCAGATAGGGTGAGGGCCGAAGCAGCTGAAATGGTTCGTAGAGAGGAAGAGAAGCGGCGTGCAACGGAGGAGGCAGATAAGGCGAAGGTCGTAGAGGAACGAAGGAGAGCGGAAGAGGAACGGCAGAGGGAAGAGGCTGAGGAGAGGGTCAGGACAGAGGCAGCAGCGATCGTTCGCAGAGAGGAAGAGGCGCTGCGTGCTAGAGAGGCGGCAGAGAGGGTGAGGGCCGCAGAGGAGCTCGTGAGAGAGAGGCAGGAACGTCAGAGGGCAGAGGCTGCAGATAGGGTGATGGCCGAAGCAGCTGAAATGGTTCGTAGAGAGGAAGAGAAGCGGCGTGCAACAGAGGAGGCAGATAAGGCGAAGGTCGTAGAGGAACGAAGGAGAGCGGAAGAGGAACGGCAGAGGGAAGAGGCTGAGGAGAGGGTCAGGACGGAGGCAGCAGCGATCGTTCGCAGAGAGGAAGAGGCGCTCCTGGCAAGAGAGGCTGCAGATAGGGCGACGGCGGCAGAGGAGCTCCTGAGAGAGGAGCAGGAACGTCAGAGGACAGAGGCTGCACGAAGGATGAGGGCGGAAGCAGCAGCAATGGTTCGTAGAGAGGAAGAGGCTCGGCGTACAAGAGAGGAGGCCGTACAGGAGCTAAGGAGAGCGGGGCAGGAACGGCAGAGGGATGAGGCTGAGGAGAGGGTCAGGACAGAGGCAGCAGCGATGGTTCAGGCGAAGGCCGCAGAGGAGCGAAGGAGAGCGGAAGCAGAACGGCAGCGTGCAAGGGCGGAGGAAGAGGCGCGGCGTGCTAAAGAGGCGGCAGAGAGGGTGAGGGAAGATGCAGAAAGGGCCATGGTCGCAGAGGAGCTCTTGAGAGTTGAGAATGATCGGCTGAGGGCTGCGGCTGCAGAGCGGATGAGGGACGTGGCAGACATGTTATCTCGCAGAGAGGAGGAAGAGCGGCGTAGACATGCGGTAGAGAGGGTCATGGGTGAGGCAGAGGCGATTATACGTAGAGAGGAGGAGGATCTGCGGAGTGCTGAGGTCAGGCTTCAGTCCGAGGCGATACAACCCAGTGCGGAGGAAACGCGCATTGCCACGACGGCGGCTCGCCGAACGACAGAGGTCCCTCGGCAGAATGCAGATCTTGAAATGGGGGTAGAGAGTGTTACAACATCGACAGAGCATGAGAGATTGGGCGGGGAACAAGGAAGAACTCAAGGGGATGATATGAGAGCTGCTGAGCTTGAGGAGATGCGCCGTAGATGGGTGGATGAATTGGAGTCTCGCCAACGACGCGAGGAGGCAGCGAGGAGGAGAGCTGCCGATGAGCGGGAGCGAATAGAACATGAACAGGAGTTGGCAGAAGCTGTCGAGCGGCTGAGGGCGCAACGAGAACGCTGTAGAGCAGAGGGGGAGCGGGAAAGGCAACATGCTGCAGAGATGGCAAGGGTAGAGGCCGAAGCGTTGCAACAGATACTGGCGGAGGACGCTCGGAGCGCACGGGAGGAGAATGAACGGGATAGTGCGGTCGAAGTGCAAAGAGTAAACGCGGAGACAGGAACTGCAGGGAATGGGGGAATCACATCTCGTGCGTCTCAGGCTTTGGATGATGCGACAGTACGGGCAATCGCCGAGGATGAGCAACGGTTGGCAGACGCTGAACGGGAGCGTGAGGCATCTGCAACTAGAGCGATGCAAGAGGTTGAGCACATGCGCCGTAGGTGGGACGAGCAGGTGGTCACGCGACGAGCAAGATTGCAAACAGAGAGGATGCGGGTGGAGCGGGAAGAGAGGATGGCGGAGGCGGTGGCAGGTGATGAAGTGGCGAGGGCTACGCGTGATGCGAGTGATCAGTTTCGCAATACCGGCCGCGATAGTGCTCCGACGCAGAGAGAACGAGAGTGGGGGGAAGCCGAGAACTTCGTACGGCAGAACGTCATGCAAGGAGCGGCCATATTAGAGGAGACTGATGATGGGTTTGTAGAGGCGGGAACAACCGGAGTTGGTGGAGGTGTGGCCGGAGTGGCATAAGTCCTCCGACGTCTAACGTTCGTCGCGCAGGCCGTGGCCAGCAGCTCCGCACAACAGAATGCTAGGATTAGTGGCAACCTCCGCTAGCTCCAATCTGCATGTACGCGCATTGCCCGCTGGACAGAGGACTACAACGAAGACGCTGAAAACATGCTGCGGGAATACAGAGAGGCTAAGGCGATAGCAATCATCGAACGTCAGAGAGCAGCGCAGACACGCACGGAAATCAACACGTCGATCCAGGGGCTCCATCGCAGAGTAGCCGAATCAGTTCAGCGCGCAGTTGCACGGGAGTACGAGACGCTATTGAGCTCGATGAAGGAGCATGTGAAAGAGGGTGTAGATGCGCGGCAATGGGCCGAGCGGCGCTCAAAGGAAGGCTTAGGGTCGTTCTACCGAACGACTACATGGAGACAATGAAGAGGGCTGTTGTCGCCAACGTCCAAGAGACACTTGTGATCGTCATATCTGCGATGGAGGAGAATTGCCAGAGGCTAGAGACTATGAAAGCCGACATCCTGGCAGCGGTGGATGAGAAGCTGTCTGGGAGGATAAAGGTCGCCCAAGCTCCGGTCGAACAACCCAACCCGCCAACTGCCCCGCTTTTCTCCCAACCTTTCGCGTGTGACAACTCCCCAGATGCAGCGCTCGCGGCGGCCGCGAACATGGTCGAGAGATGGGGGTTTGCAGGCCGACAGGAGATGTTGGAGTCGGAAGGACGTACAGAGACGGGAGTGGAACGCACCAGGGTTGGAAGAGAGGCGCAGATGGGACGTAGCGAGCACACGGCGGTGACCAGTGTGGGGCGGGCAGATAAGGATGTAGAAAGGGCGAATGAAGAACGTGCTAGTGAGGCTGCAGAGCAACAGCGGCGCAAGGAGGATGCAGAGCGGCAGAGAGCGCTCGAGGAGGCGCAGTGTGCTGTTAGAGAGGCGGAAGAGGCGAGACTAAGAGTCGAACAGGAACGGGTGGCAGCGCAGAGGCGAGCAGCGAGGGCGGCAGCACTTTCGATGGCAGAGGCAAGGCGGAAACGCCTTGAGGAGGATGCTGCACGGGAGAGGGCAGAAGCGGAACGACGGCATAGGGAAATGGAGATTGAGCGAAAGCGACTTGAGGACGAGCTAGCGCGTTTGGCAATGGAGGACGAGCAAGATAACACGGCAGACTTAGGGCTGCAAAGCGATCACGTGGCATATCTCGGGGGAACAGCTACCGACAGTTGCAATGTAGAGGGTCCGAGAGAACGTACGGTGGAGGATTCGGAGGGAGTTGTGGAACGGGGAGAATCTGCACGACAAGCACCCGAACCACCAACCCGTTTTACGAGGACAATAGAAGCATCCCTCTCTGGACAGACAACACAACACGGAATCAAGATCGCCACCTCCCTGGTAGAGAGAATTCGGATGGCGAGGCAAGCTGGTGCGTGGCCTACGGAGGCGGTAACTAGGTCTACACCACTGGTGCCTTTCGACCCGCGAGAACTCACAGATGGGGGTACCTCAGGAGACAGGATCGAGGTGGAGACTGGTGTAGTAGCGACTGCGGCAGAACAAGCCACCTTACCACGCCGGGAAGCCGTAGAAGCTGAAGGGCGGAGAACACTAGACCCGGTTAACGTTCGGTCTGCAGACGACCTTTCTGCAAAAGAGGTCAACGGCGCGCGACGACAGAAGGAGAGGGAACAAAGGAGCACAAAGGGTGCGGAAAAAAAAGCGCAGAAGCATGCAGAGATGCATGAGCAAGATGCAGGAGTGGGGCAGAGTCAATGCGAAGATGCTGCGTGTAGCACGATGAATGTGGATCGTTCGGAGAGGGGGGCAGATGGTGCTCTACGAGTTGTCCATCATGCGGAAGTGATGGTCACTCTAGACGCGGATGGTGACCGGAGACGTCAACGCGTACAGTCGGAGTGTGACGCTGAAAGGCCTGCAGCGAAGAGGCTATGCTCTGCCAACAATTCACAGCCAGGGGATGCGGGTGTGCATGTAGTTGATGCAACGCGGGGTGGGGTCGATTTGCCCGCCCCAGGAACCGGTGTTCTACAGGTTCTGCAAGTGGGCGACGCAGATGTTGAGAGGGTCGACGATGATACACACGAGCAGCCAGTTCCTGAGGCTGACGACGAGGGGAAGAGACCTGGAGTGCATCGGCCGTTCAAAGCGCCGGGATTGTTCGAGAGAAACAAAAACGATCCTGAGAAGATGCGGTACACATCTGAGCAGACATTAGGGGGCAAGAAGCGGAACATGGGGTCACATAAGGAGGCGTGGAGTAGAAACTTCACCGTCTGTGTCTGCTAGCTGGCCTACTTCCCCGATTGCAACTTGTCGTCTTATGGGATCCCCGCCACAGATATTGAAAGGTGGCGCGACGAACTCCAATTTGCGGTATCTCTGCCGACTGGCGTGTGGAGTGTCATCAACGAGCTGTCTCTGGACAGATATGCCAAGTGAGTTTAGATCACAAAATGACTTCTGCGCCAACGAACAATCGTGTGTATGATTTCTAACCCCACCCCTACCTTTGTTCTCTGGTGCAGTTTCAAGGTCCTTATGAAGAAAACGACCGACCTTATTGCACGGCAGATAAGGTTAGAGATTGCCCTATCTGCGGGTGTGGCCCGAGCAGCTCTACTTGGGACGAAGGCAGGGGTACCGAACCCGCCAGCAACTGTTGACCCTGTGACGTACGCGACAGGTATCGCGGCTGCTCTCTGCACACTGTGGTCTGCTTCGATCAACAAGCCAGACACACGATGGAAAGCAGATGCACAAGATGCAGCGGTAAAAGCGTACGACGACGCTGACGAGGCGGGGCGTGCAGCGAAGGTTGCAAGCCAAATCGTTCCTGCTCTGCGAAGCCTGTCAAAAGAAGTGCATGAGAAGGAGAAATGGGAGCCGTTTGTTGAAGCAGCGATCAAAACCCGCCTTCGGCAAGAGGAGCTAAACGAGGGTGTGGATAGCATGGTTAAGGTAGTAGCCAAGGTAGTTGTCTACTGGTGTCAGTGCCCCGTGTCTTCATTAGGCCTAGCTAAACACCAGAAGGTCAGTTTGAAGTTTGCGAAAAGTAGGCGGCCGTCTAGACAAAACAAGGCTGCTGAATAAGTGTAGCCTACATGGGCAGTTGTTTAGATTGTGTGTGCTCCATGTAGTTTGTACAATATATTTTGACTTCCCGATAGTTCTTCAAGAAACTATTTCTTAATAGTTAATGTTGAAACTATTTTCATTGATGCGTAGATAACAAACACGTGGCATCTGCAGATTTGCTTATACTCATCCATTGAACGAGGCAACTTCGGAATATGCGTGCCTCTACTACAGGCAAGCGACCACCTTGGCTGTCCAGTCATTGCATCATTGACCTTGCAATGTAGAGAACGACCCATGCGTACGCGTGGCAAATGTAGACAGGCCATGCTAAACTCGTTCACTACACGCGTCTACCCGAAACGTCCCTGTCAATGCCAATTTGGCAAACGGATAGAAATAGTGACCGGTACAGCTCTGCACAACTGTCAAGTCGTTGCGTCATTGACACTGCAACATTCATTACGAAGCATGCATAGGGTACAGTGCCGCACTCTGCCACTGCCATTGACAATTGACCATAAATCCGACGTGGATAATTTGATCTACGCTGCGCGCCAACACGATCGCAGACACTCCAATGTGAGGTAGTCGCACAACTGTCACCCAACACGTGGCATCTGCATCTTTGATTTTCATCCTCCAATAAGTAGGCAAAGTCGAAATCTACCGTATGAAAGCATATTGGATGGTTCGCGCATTTTGTAAACAGGAAGCTACAAAGCGAGGAAGTGCAACAACGCTGCGCGCTGAACAACGTTGCGCGCCAAAGTGCATGCAGACGTGACAATATAGATTGCGCGTCAGTTACCCATGTAAATCGACACGTGTCTCAAGACACCAGGTGTTCACGCCGATGACGTCACAACATACCGGTGTCCAATCGAAGTAGTTACCTCTATACACGGAATTCTCGTGTGTCTGTCCGAAGCAGTCTGATTGGATCATGCACCCGAATTTATCGTCGTCGAACCTCTGTGATAACGAACGCGTGGATTATTGACGACGCGTGGCACCCTATATTTCGCTCAAATACACACTTATCTTTAAGAAAATCCGCATGGCAGATTTACGCTGCTGCGGTGAGGAGCGTCCAATCGTAGTTTCTACCACAACCAACCCATGTCCTTCCATTTACGCCCAACCCCACAGTGGGTCAACAACCATAATATACTGGAGGCATTCTTAGCAATCAGTCTCTGACGCACCAATTTCGAGTTTCTGTTTTTCTGTAAGCGTTCTGCACTTTCGTAATCCTCTATGGCTCGTCAACTTTCCGCAAGTGCCGGCGATGTGCCCCTTCAGATCTCGCCGACATGGTCTCTGACAGAGGGGGTTGAAGTAGGAAAACACACCGCTAATATGCCGCCTCTTAGTAAGCACGGTAAAACCACGCGCGAGGTCTATGTTGCTGTCGCGGCCGGGGATGGAGACGGGGACGATGACGGCCATAAGGACACGGGCTTTGATGAGACCGCCATAGCAGGAAAGCGTCGTGGCGTCACCATGCCCTTCAGGTCTCCCGGATGGTTCGTGCGCAAGCGGGGGCGCGGTATGGATGTGTATTTCTCAGAGCAGATTGTCGGCGGAAGGAAGCGGTTCTTGGGGATGCACAGCACAGTGCAGAGCCGCAACTTTACCTCAGCGGTTTGCTGGATGACATATTTTCCCGACATCGACCTCATACAATATGGCATGTGTCCGCACGACATACAGATCTGGGCTCCCGAACTCGAGTTTGCGAAACATCTGCCAACTGGTGTGTGGAGCGTATTGAATGAACTCCAGCTTGACAGGATGGAGAGGTGAGTCTCGTGAATCTGAATATACGATTTACTTACATGTCATAGGATTTCTGTATTGATGCTCACCTTGCCGCTATCTCGCAGGTTTAATATTGTGTTGAAA